CCCCCCTTGAGAGTCCCAGCTCATTCTACAATATCCCAAGCCCTTAAAACATCTTGAATATTTTACTGATAAGACATAAGTCCTTTAAACGATTGATTTAAAACATGTATACTTCAGATTTAAAGAAAAACGCTTTTTTCTTTAGTAACGGACGCTCCAAAACTGACGAACAAGAACACTTGAACATGATGGCCTCCAACGCAAAGAACTTTAAGAACTTTTCTCCACATCACCCGCTCGATGTCCTCGTGGCCTTACTCTCTATCCTCACACTCATCCACGGTGAGGTGACTAGCGCTAGTGTATGTAAGTTGAGCATAGCAGACAATAAAACACTGTTTGATACACTCGATGAAAAATACGAGGAGGAAGCAACAACTATTATCATAGAGTACACTGTGGGGTTTAACAACGTCAGCGCCGACTTTGACCTCAGGAATAAATCAAGTCCCGAATCATTTCAGCCTTGGCGGTGAGTTCACAAGGTCAAAGTTCATCTTAAACACTTTTAGTCGCCGGGTGACATATAGCATGCCATATTTGTTGTTTAAAACTATTGCAACCACCTGGAACGGGTCTGATGAGGGTGGAAGAAGTGGGTTGGTTATGGATTGTGAGCAATTAAATATACCGTAAATATTTTATACAGCCTTCCAGTGTTTAAAAAAAAAAAAAAGCTTCTTTCATGAAATAAATAAATGTTATTTTTAGTATTAATTCTTGCCTGTGGAACTTTTTCTCAAATTAACCTAATTAAAATGTGAAACCAGAAACCAGAAACCAATTCTGTATCTCCACAGTTGGTACAGTACACAAGGCCTGAGCAGTTCAAGACTTCTGCTGACATACAGCTTCCTATACGGCACCATGAAATTCTTTTTGTCACTTGGAATTGATAAGGTGGATCTCTCGATCGACGTCAGCCCTCCTGGATGTTTGGAAAGCTATGAAAATGAAGACTTGGAAAATTTCATTCGAAGCTTTTTGATGGAAGGTGAGGCTGGTGTTTAGTGAGTTCTTGGGTTTGATAGAGGTTTTCAATGCCAAAACAAGAAAAGATGGCTTGTAGCCTTGACAATATTCACTTCAAAGACGTGTGCCCAATTCAAATAAAAGAAAAAAGAAATATCATAAGTCTTGCAAATTGTGCTAGTTTGAAGTTTGATTGAAGGTTTTAAAATAATTTTCAATGGCTAAAAAAAAAAATATATATTTTTAAAATCCAAAAAATATGTATTAAAAAATGTAAGCTCAGCCCATTTAAAAATCAATATCTTAAGTCTTAGACATTGACGTTTCAATAGATCTTTTTTCACATACTGTATTCAGATTTAGTGTTTTCACCATCGGTTAGCTTAAAATCCAAGTCCAATATCTGGCAGTAGGCCCCATATGGCTGTGCACATGGCTGTGCACAAGGCTGTGCACATGGCTGTGAACACCTGTAACTGCCTTTTAAACAAGTATATCATTTAAATCGTTTTACAATTTATTCGTTTTTATTCAACAAATGTTAAATATACTAAAGGCTGAAAAATACATCTCAAACACACACTTAATTTTCTTTATAGCACAGAGTCTTATAAACGGATTTCTAATAGGAATCATCATCATAACGTCCCTTAATCCTTGGACCGCTGGGGGCGCCAGAGATGACATGACAACTATCCATCTTCATACCTCTCTGTTTTCTGCCCTTCGCCAAGTTTTTGTCATAGGAATAATATGCTGTAAAGACAGTTTAAATTTAAAAGTGTATTTTACTTGTCAAATGAACACGAACAATTTACTTCCACACACTTCCATTCTTCATATTTTCTTATTTTAAGCTGGTCACGATTCACTACGCTCTTACATGGCCCTTTAAATACGTTCGGTCTAAAAGGATTATTAAAAATTGTTGCCTTAAAGGGAAACTTAATACTCTGAAATATCACATTGGTGTACATCTAATGAATTTTGAAGTTACTGGTTTTAACAGTTTCAATACTTGAAGTTAAAATAATAGCCTAAATCATAGAAAAATTACATTTTTGAAAAAAAGTCTCGTGAAACTAGAATTTCATGTCATTACATTACAATTTTGTTCGGAAAAATAATTTCAAGATAGGAGGTAAAGAACTTTTGGGTTTGTTCTGGTGAGGTTTCTAAAGTAGCTAAATAAACATCTTATAGTGAACACATTTATTTCCAACAAATCTATGTCAAAATAAATCATAGACTATACAAAGAATTGGATTGTTTATAGTGAATATGTTAATATTTAAATATGATTTGTTATATTACTTTATTATTATTTGCATTCCCACACATTAATACTTTGAGTTTTCCAGCATTGAACGTCAGAGACCAGCCATTGAAAGATCTGTTTTTCTGTATAGCGCACATTGGTGATGACAATGGTAATAACGTCCTGATACACAGGTACGGTGCAGTAACTTATTTGTTGTCTCTGTAAAGACTTCAGCCGCAATCAAACGTTTCCCCTTTATTACAGTTACAACAAAAACAACTTTTTACAAAAAGGAGCCAAATTCATAAACGAAACGTGTAAAATGGACACATTATAGAAACGATGTACGTACCAGTAACAAGAATTGCGTGAGGGAAGAGTTGAAAAAGAAACGTATTTAGATTAAATAAAATATGTTTTAGAGATCTCACTTTACGGAATTCCAATCCACTCTGTGTAGAAACATACAGAGTTTTCTGAAGAATTGTTTTTAAAAAAATGAAATAGAACACGTTATGTGGAAGCTTGAATCAACAGACAGGACAATACGATGTGAACTTTTCGGCTTGAGGCCTTTTCCAGCAAACCAGGACAAATGAAAATAAGACAAGAAACAGAGCACATTAAAAAAAAAAAGCAACAGCTTTAGAGATCTCCTTTCTGGTTGCCGGAAGTAATGCACAATGATTCATTTTTTCAAAAATCGTTTTTACAAAGCGTATATAAAATTATTTTTTTTTAAAAGTTGCATGTTTTACAACTGTTGATTTCCCTTCCCCCCCCCCCCCCCCCCCCCCCCCCCCCGTGTGTACCAATTATCATTTAGACTTGAAATTTACCGTAACCGTACAAATTTGTTCAAAAGACTGATGCTCGAGCGGTAGCTATTTGGGAACATAAGTTTGTTTGAGAAGTAGTTTGTTTTGAAAAGTAGTGTGTTACAATGGTTTCCATTGTTGATGAAATTCGTTCGACGGAAATTTCTTCGAATTTTTTGTTTGTTTATTGTTTGTTTGAACAACTTACTTTTGGAAGAAAAATGGTTTCGTACCAATTCCTTGGTACGGATTTCCAGTTTCATCCACGTAAATCAACTCAAAGTTAAAGTTCCGGAAACAGTTGCGTCTGAGCGATAAATAGAGACGCAACAATATGACCATTTTATGGAACGGCCAATAAAAGTACGATACTATATTGGGTGACATTAGTAGAAACAGGTGTTTATGTGTACATTTACTTTTAGATATTTTGTTCACGGCCAAAAAAATATATATATATATAATTTGAGAGTTTTTGTGTATGTTTGAAGTCACAATGTTCAAGCCATTGATCGTGGGCCCTCAAAATATAGAAGAAGAAAGAAGAAGTCATGGGGTTTCATGGGGAAACATATTTTATTCCACTATTTACCTACTCATCACATAGCAAGCTATATCAAAGTAACGCTAGAGTAACAGAGAGTGTCATCTGTTTAACTTGCCACGGTGTGTAGATCAGCGGTTCTCAACACGTGGGTTGCAATCCCCTTTGGGGGTCGAACGACCCTTACACAGGGGCTGCCTATGACCATCGGAATACGCATATTGATGAAGTACCAATGAAAATAATTGAATGGTTGGGGTCACCAGGACATGAGGAACTGTACTGAAGTGTCCCGGCATTAGAATGTTGAGAGCCACTGGTGTATATGAACATTGAGAAAATGAATTCAAGTTAAGGGTGATATTGTACCATCTGCGCATGTTTTTAAGAATACAAAAAATACTTTCCAGGTGCTGTAATCTAGATACGTCGCACGAAGTCCACTGCCATGAGGTGACGATCGATCGCTGGGTGCAATATCTGCACGCTTTCATCATGGTTATCGTGGTGCTTGTGGTGTGCATCGCTCCTCGCATCATTCAAAAACATTACAGGTCAATTTTTCTAAATATCCCACTCTGGTGTGTTACCTTGAATTGTAAATGTGTGATGTGTGAATCGAATAGTGTAGAAAACAAAACAGTTGTATGTGCTTAGGATGAGAAACAAACGTTTTGAACAAATTGCATGAATTAGCATATAATATTTGGACTCCATCACAATCGAATAATTTTTATGACGTCGGTACAAAGCTAATACAATCACTGATTTTTTTCATAATGTGCTGTCCATTAATTACTTCAACAAAATTGTGGGGGGGGGGGACGGGGGGACGGGGGGGGACGGGGGGGACATAAAATTTGGTAAAAGCTTTACCACTGTTGACAAGTGTTTGGGGATGAATCAAAATAAATTGACGTCAGCACTTCTATTTTACTTTGATACAAATATTTATATCCTCGGTTGGGTCTATTTAATGTGTTGCAAGGTATTTGTAAGTTTTAATGACCAAAAAAATAAATTTTAGTTCCTAATGGTCAGAAAAGCAATAAATTTTAGTTCCTAATGGTCAGAAAAGCAATAAATTTTAGTTCCTAATGGTCAGAAAAGCAATAAATTTTAGTTCCTAATGGTCAGAAAAGCAATAAATTTTAGTTCCTAATGGTCAGAAAAGCAATAAATTTTAGTTCCTAATGGTCAGAAAAGCAATAAATTTTAGTTCCTAATGGTCAGAAAAGCAATAAATTTTAGTTCCTAATGGTCAGAAAAGCAATAAATTTTAGTTCCTAATGGTCAGAAAAGCAATAAATTTTAGTTCCTAATGGTCAGAAAAGCAATAAATTTTAGTTCCTAATGGTCAGAAAAGCAATAAATTTTAGTTCCTAATGGTCAGAAAAGCAATAAATTTTAGTTCCTAATGGTCAGAAAAGCAATAAATTTTAGTTGCTAATGGTCAGAAAAGCAATAAATTTTAGTTGCTAATGGTCAGAAAAGCAATAAATTTTAGTTCCTAATGGTCAGAAAAGCAATAAATTTTAGTTGCTAATGGTCAGAAAAGCAATGGTGAAACAATATTAGGCCCAAGAAATTTTAGACTGGCCTATTAAAATTCTAAAAGTCTGATCAAGGTAATAGCATTTATTAAAGAAAAAGAGATTATTCTGAATGGTTAGACTAGACAAGGATGATGCCAGTAAATCCATCAATATTTAAAAAAAATAAATAAATATGCCAAATATAAATGAATTAATGGCTATATGCGCATTTGCAAAAGAGGAACATTTGGCAGAATTTGAAAATGTACGATACTAGCAATAAATTGACTTACAGTTAAAATTTAGACCTTATAAATATTGTAATACATTCCGAAATGTAACATTGACTCCAGCCATTTATTCTAATTATTATAAATTACATTTTTAGTAACAGTCATCAAAAAATATAATAGGTTGTTTTTTTTTTACCCACCGATTTCTTGAACTTAAGCAACAAATTTTTATTTTTGAAGATAAACATTTTTTGATATTTGTAAATAGTTAGGTCCTTGAACGTTTGACAGTTGTATGTAGAGGGTGAAAATATGATTACATCTTGTTAAAATAATTGTTCATGGCCCCTTAGATTAATACACTGTTGTTGTTGTTTTTTGTGTGGTTAAAATTTGTTCATTTATTTGTCCACAAAATCTTGTTTAATAAATATGTATATTTTCAACCCTGGTCTCCCGACAGAATGGTCAGATACAACTTTTCGACACCGAAGACGAAGAAATTTGAATTCCGTTTAAAGATATTGGCAGAAAAGTAAGTTCGTTAGGTCACAGTTATATGACTGAACAGCAGTTTTCAAAATCGGACAACGGATGCAAAGTTAAAGATTTCTCCTTCCCTTTTAGAAGGGTGGCTCTACGGTTGACAGCAAGCTCATCTTTGGCGCCCCTTATAAGTATAATCATAACAATTTTGGCAAGGAGAAAAAAAACAATGGGTTAGGTAATTACTTTTTTAAAATGCAGTTTGTTTCTTGAAACAAACAATGAACAATAATATTGTTTTTCTTAACTTGTAATTGGACAGTTTTAGCAATTATCACCCCCATCATCAGCGGTGGCTCGACATCCCATGTAAGGCCCTGGCCTGCTCCACCACATCCTTCTATTCATATCGATCCATGGCTTTCCGCCTCCATGCGCGAACCTCCAACCGATGTAAATCCTTCTCTGCATCATCGATCCATCTCGGGTTTGGAAGGCGGAAGAGCCGTCTGCCCCTAGCTGCTCTACATTCCGGCATCCTTTCAATATGTCATCTCCGACGCAGAGTGCCTTTTTTGATTGTTCCGACTCTGGGTGGGCCTTTGTCAAATTGGTAAAGCTGTTGGCTTGTCCAGATATCATTGTCTATCACTGGGCCATATAATTTCCTGAGGATTCTCCTCTCCCATGAATTGAGCAGGTTCTCTGCTTTTCTGGTAAGGGACCAAGTCTCACTAGCATAAGTTTTATGATATTGTTGTACATTGTCTTCTTTGTTCTTCTTGAGAGGTTTTTGCTTCCTAGTAGCTTTCGTAGGCTGGAATAGGAACGGTTGCCTTGTGTTATCATTTCTTTCACCTACGACATTATTTTATTTTGCTCCTTATAGCCACCTCTAGATATTTAAAGTCAGCCACTCTCTCGAATGTGTAGTTGTTTATATTGATGTTATCGTCAGCGTGGGAGTTTTGTGAGATTATCAAATATTTTGTCTTCGGTTCATTCACATCAAGACCAGCTTTGACTGAGACATTTTGAAGTTCCCTGAATGTTTTAATTAAGGCATGTCTGTTTCAGCCCAGTAGCGCTATATCGTCTGCGTATGCCAGGTACTGCAATGGCTGGCTATATAATGTTCCTGATGGTTGTTTCTCTGTAATACCTCTCTGGAAGTAGCTTGTTATGATTCCAGTGGAGCTCACTTGCAAGCTTCTAATAATTTTTTTCCAGCGTGATGTTAAACAGGATACACGATAGTGAATTTCCGTGTCTTAGGCCCTGATTAACTGGGAACTTCCTCGAGTATTCTCCCTGTACCATGATTCTGCTTTTCGAGTTAGCCATCGTCATATGAACAATTAGCTTACTGATAACATTTTTTTTTGTCTAGGCTTTAGATCAGCAAATGTTTTTATTACAATTTACATTTTAATATTCTTTGCAATATCATTTTCTATACACAAAATAGCCAAAGAATTCATTATGTCTTAAGACATGGATGGTCGTAAATATTTTTTTAATAAGTTTTAGTTCACTAAAGCTTCTCTTGCTTTAGAGAATCCGGAAATAATTCTTTGGCTATATGTTGTTTAGTCAACCCATCACATCATTTTATATCGCTATTTTCTTGATACCTTAATTTATTCTCCAAACCTTTACATGATACTTTGAGCTTATTCTGTCAGGATTTTTTTGCTCATTAAAAAATTCCATTGTGTATTTGAAACTTTGCACCTGTTCAAATATCTCTGATAAAGAAGTTTATAGCTCTTTCCATTATTAAGCGAACGCGTGATTAATAATTTAAAAAAAAAAAAAAACATCCGGGTCTTCTGTATTTGGAACCTCGACAGCACCCTCATATTCAAACAGCCTCCCTCTTCTTACATGGCGCTCACATGTAATGCTTTTACTATTATATAAGATCGCTGACGGCGCCCCCAAAAAACGTGGCGCCACGGGCAATAGCCAGGTTTGCCGATTGCCTTGAGCCGGCCCTGCCCTTTCAGCATGCAACCAAATTACTTTAAGACACGTCAGCTATCTGCTTTATATAAATAAACCTTGAAGTATATTTATCTGGAAAAAAATTGATTATTGATTTAATTTAATCCACAGGGAGGACGTCCCGAGCAACAGGTAATTTAATTGGGGAACATGTTCTAAAGATTTGCAGAGCAGAAACGGATATTTGTGGAATTAACTGAGCATCTAACTGATCACAGATTTTGTTTGCGAAACGATATTTTAATTAATATATATATACATATATATATATATATATATATATATCTAACTGATCACAGATTTTGTTTGCGAAACGATATTTTAATTAATATATATATACATATATATATATAAAGAAATTTATATTATAACACATACGGCAAATAGACATATAACCTAATAAGAAACAAGAGGGACATTGGACTTTTTTTTCTATGTACGATTTATATTGATATACACACATACACCTATATATATATATATATAACCACAACATCTGTATCATTATTTCTAGGTTACATAGTGACAAATGAGGTCTCTGTCTACTATTGTATTGTAAAATCAATACAGATTAACGCTAATGCCCGAGGACACATTTAAATATTTCTAGATCAAATAACATAGTGTAAACTTTTGCTTTTCTTTCTAAAATTTGTTAAATTATTTTAACTAAAAATAAAAATTGATTAGGCCAAAATTGTCCTCCTCTTTTACGGAAGTTTACAAATAGATTTGGGGAACATGAAACATTTTAAAGAAGGTTTGGAGCAACACAATGTAGTCCATGGCAAAATCTACAAAGTTCGTGTGAAGGAGGCTGATTTGGAACTTTCTGAAAACAGAATCTTTATGCACTGCAGCGCAAAATTCAGTTTTCCAAGAGCTCTTTCGGAGCTTTTGAAGGTAAGTCAAATATCAATTCATCAAGTTTGAACTGTGAACAAAATAGATGTCATGTTAATTTAAACGTGTTGCCAAATGACGAAAATGTACTCTTTCGTTGTTGTTTATTCATCGTTGGTTCAAATTAACATACAAAATTCTCTTTGTCCGTCACTAACGCTACTAGATGGCGCTGTTTTCACTATCACTAACACAATACTATCCAATAAAATTCCGCCATTCTCTTGAGAACAATACTACCCAACAGAATTATTAAAATACACAAGCGTACTACGATTTCACGGTAATTTTATTTCTTGTGAAAGTTAATTTTATGAGCATTTTGTCAAAAAAAAATTCATATTTTATAATTAATGCACATTGGCTGTGTTGCTTAGGGTTGAAATGGCTAGAAAGACTCTGACGTGGTATGCTTTTAATTAGTTTTTGTAGCGTTGCGTTTGTTTTAAATGGAGTAAATTATAGATTGGGGGTAATAAGGGGAGAGACTGCAATCAGGTTAGTACAAAATAAAATGAGTAAAACAGAGTAGGGTTAAACCTGCAAAAATAAACGCAACAAAACAGCGAACGTGTCGACAGAAAGCCTTCGTCAGCGAACAAAACAACAGAAAAAACGGTATAAAAATAAGAAATAGCACTTAGCTGGTAAGTAGTATCTGTGGGCAGCAATAGAAGTGTGGCAGAAGGAAAATGAGTGAGAGTTTAAATAAGAAGCGGCGAAAAAAAGGGGAGAAAATTTCAGGAAACTTAATACGGAATTTCTGTGCGCTCTAGGGGGGATCAGCCAAACCCCGACCATATACACCTGTTGGCTCAATCTGCAAAATCAACCCCCCCCCCCTTTTTCCCCCGCAAACACCTCAGTTCGTACTTAATAGGTGGATGTTTTCTAATAAAAAATATACATTTTAAAATCATACGTCTAGTTTGCTAAATATGCTATGGTTTGCTAAACATTTTGCATGTGTATTTGTGCAAATATGTCTCCTATAAAATAATTTAATTTATTCCCCAGAAATGTCAAAGTTGTTGTGGAGATGGCGAGTGTCCCTGCAAGTGCTGCTGTTCAGTCCAGCCTTGCTGTCGTGAAGTTATCAGTTTTATATGCCATCTGTTTAAAACGCTTCTTGTGATGGTGGTGCTGGCCTTACCCAGCATTCCGATTTTGTATTCCATGTGCAAAGATGACCTGTGGTATAAAGAATTACACAGGGCTTATAGGAAAAGAGGCTTTTCAGCCCCGTTTAATTTAAACTTTTACTTATATGCCGAGCATGCGTATAGCTTTGTAGTAATTGTAAGCGGTTTATATGTGATTCATTACCTTTTAATCGTTTTCTCAAGCGGTCAAGTGAGAAACTTCTACACCGCAATGTTCATTGACTCTGATAATTGTATCGCAAATCCTCTAAAGAACCAGGATACAAAGACATGTCAATGCAAAAAATGCTTCATTTTGTTACACATAGTTAACCAGCTCTTGAAAATCCCACCGTTTATATTTGTAAAATCTGTAGTATCTATTTTGTGCACAAAAGTCCAAGATCGAAGAAAAACATTTTGTAAATATGTCCTACATTTTATCCTGATCGGGGTGTCTGCCTGTTCTGTCTTAATTATTCTAATGCTGGGCGCAATGTTTCTAGCTGGTGTCGTGGTCATTCTGATCCTGATTGTCACATTTGAAGGGGGGACGATCTATAACTTCATTCCGGTTGCCTTCTGGCTGGCGGTTTATCTGTGGACTTCTTTGAAAAATCTACACAAACCCTTTGACCTCTTCATGGGTACTCTGTTTGAGACGGAGAAATGCAAGGACTTATATATTGATGGCCAAGTTCAGAATGATGTTCAGAATGATGTTCAGAATGATGTTCAGAAGGATGTTCAGAAGGATGTTCAGAATGATGTTCAGAAGGATGTTCAGAATGATGTTCAGAATGATGTTCAGAATGATGTTCAGAATGATGTTCAGAATGATGTTCAGATGGATGCTATTGGTAAGTATACTGTCTAATCAGTTTGTTAGAATACATGCTATAAAATTCTAATGAACATTGGACATTTTTTTTTTTTAAATGTGTGTATCTTTTCAATGTAAAATATAATTGAGATTTAAAATTTAATGCGAAATTTAAAGTTTAGTATTTGGGGAAAGAAATATATTACGATACTAGCTAATTTACCCGGCTTTCTATGGTTTGTCTTCAGAAAAATCGCAAAAAGCTTTATAGCAAACACTTAGACAAAAACACTTCTCTAGCGTAGCATTTAAAATTAAAGTTTGATTTTTTGGGGAATTAATTGACCAATGTTTAAAAAAAATACCAACATGGTCACACTAAGCTTTATATAGTAGATTTCATATCTCTAATTTCATTGGACCAACACATTTCCTCTTATTATTATTAATTAGTCAAAGCTTATTGTATAATTTTTTTAAAAGTCACAACTTAGCCCACACCACAATCTTAAACGCAATCTTGCAACAAAAAAATCGATCTATCCTTAGGCTCTTCTGTCATTCCTTGTCGCCCACCTCTTCCATAGACAAAGCCTCTCACCACAAACTCGACCTTAACTCCTCTTTTATCCCTCACAACTTCCACACAAATCCTAAGCCAAACCACTTCACTGACCCAACCACCTTACAACTTTTCCCACCCCGCATGCAGTTGCTCTCATGCCATCACCATCTAACAGTGGAACATCCTCATCATCAGTGGCGCTACAACCTACGTAGAGCCCTGGCCTTCTCCACCACATCCTTCTATTCAGATCGATCCATGGCTTTCCGCCTCCATGCTCAAATCCCCAACTGATGTAAAGCCTTCTCTACATCGTCGATCCATCTCAGCCTTCGGCGACAAGCGAGTCGTCTGCCCCTAGGTTTATGCTTGTATACCACTTTTGCCACTCTACTTTCTGGAATCCTTTCAATATGATCTGCACAGTGCAGTCTGCTTTTTTATATAGTTGTGGCTATGGGTTGGTCTTTGTACAACTGATATAGCTCTTGGTTTGCACGGAACTGGTCTTACTAAATTAAGTATATTAGAATGCATATGTCATTAATTGCAATGACTTCAGCTTAGTCAAAAATCTCATTGACGAATAATGAAAAAGAAGAGAGCATAAATTCCTCAAATCTATGTATCTTTTTAAATGACACACCTTCATTTCATCACCATTGAATAATAATATTGAAAAGTTTGAATACATTTACCTTACAATTTTATTTTCCAAACGCATTACCGATTTCGTCAAAAATTTCGAATCATGAAAATTTTCGTGCGGCTGTCAACGGGGAATTGCTTCAGCCACCACATGTTCCAAGACGTGAAAAGAATTCTATTTTAGTCTTATTTATGCGTTTTCCATCGCGGGAGAGTCCGGTTTCAAACAAAAATTATCCAACATAATATTCATTTGATGTCAATGGTCATATGATGGCTTGACCTGTTTACCGCTTACAGACACAGGAACGCGTTCAAAATACTGCAGTTTCAGTACTTCTAGTTTTGAGGGGAGTTTCAGTACTTCTAGTTTTGATTGGAGTTTCAGTACTTCTAGTTTTGATTGGAGTTTCAGTACTGCTGCTTTTTTATGCATACCTTACATTATTTTTCATTTACTTTTTTAAAAAGAAACTATTTAATTAGTAGCTAATTGTATACAAACATGGCGCGATTATATTCTCCGCGTATTGTCACTTTAATGAAATGTGATTTTCAAAGTTTCATTCCCTCCAGAGCATAAGCCTAAGAATTGTATCGATAAACGCTCAAGCTTTGAGGTTAGGCATAAGACACTGCGAGTGAGACTCAAGCATCCTTTTATAGACATTTACAGATCTAGAATTTCAAAGGACTTCTTCTACCACTGTGTAAATCTGGACCATGTCAGGGCACCAGGATCAGCATTGAAAAATAACTGGAAAGTAAGTCATAGAGAACATACTATATTGACTCTAATATTTGTATTTCTCCACGCGGAGATGTTTTTGTAATACCCTGATTCAAAGATCAACTTCGAACATGAGTACTTGATATCTTTTTGTTCGTTCCCTTCGCAGGCCGTACTTCTATTTTTTAAGCTGGGAACTTTCATCACTTTTGTGTATCTCGTCCTCATGGCGTATGGCAATATTCTCTTCATTTCCCCAACCAACCGGGTGTTCGTGACATTCGTGGCTGGCATACTGCCGAGCATCGTGGAAAAGCTTTACGGCGATGATCCAGCAATGAAGAAAATTAATCCGGCAGACAAACGGTAACTCAGCATCTTGCCTTAAAATTCGTTTTACACTTCATGTGCAATTAATTTCTAATTTGATAAATACACTTTAACAAAGCTCCTAGACGTGATAAAATAAAGGTAAAAGATAAAAATATTTTTTAAAAATCTAAAACGATAATTTAGTTTTAAAAAGGCCAAATATTATTATTGAAATAATTGTACAAAAGTTACATAAAAATGCATTACGAAACGTTTAAGTTTTTTTTTTTAATTCACAGATTCCTTAAAGAATTGGATGAAAAGATAAAAACTTTTAGTGAAAAATGGATCGTTCGTGATTTTAGTGTTGAGTCGGTGTCAGAAGACAATTCCAAAAAAACTCCAGATTTATTTGTTATCAAAAAAGGTACACGTGGCCTCGGGGCTAGCAAAATTAGTTTGGGTTTGGGCAAGTAGTTACAAATGGAACATTTTTTTATAAGCAACGGTTTGAGAAGTTTGTTAGGTTTCATTTTTCAAATCTGGAAAAGTTAACAGGAGAGTTTGACAATTTATTGTAACGGGGCACCATATTGGCTTAGTGCATGTGTTTTTCTTATTGCAGAAAATTCAATGACGTCTACGGTAATGGGTTCAAAATATCGACCTCAAAGTGAAAACATAAATGATATAGAAAAAGGACGCGCAATACCTCCAGACAGTGCAGCTTTTGAACGACAGGGTGAGTCAGTGTCAGAAGAATCTTCCGAACAAATTCCAAATTTATTTGTTATCACAAAAGGTACAAGTTGCCTCGGGGCTATTAAAATTAGTTTTGGTTTGGGCACATAGATACAAATGGAAAAAAAAAAAAAGGATTTTATAAGCAACGGTTTGAGAAGTTTGTTAGATTTCATTTTCAAATCTGGAAAAGTTAACAGTAGAGTTTGACTATTTATTGTAACGGGGCACCATAGTGGCTTAGTGCATGTGTTTTTCTCATTGCAGAAAATTTAAACAGGTCTATGAAAAGAGGTCCAAAAATTCCACCGGAACGTGCGGACAATAATGATGTAGAAATATGGCGCGCAATACTTCCACACAGTGCAGCTTTGAAACGACAGGCTGAGTCGGTGTCAGAAGAATCTTCCAAACAAAATCCAGGAACAGGTACAAGTGGCCTCGGGGAAATCAAAATTATTTTGGGCTTAGTTACAATGGAAATATTTTTTTATTTTTTTTTATAATCAGCGGTTTGAGAAGTTTTTTTATGTTTTACTTTCGAATCTGAAATTGTTAACAGCAAAGTTTGACAATTTATTGTAACGGCTTACTTTAATGTCTAAGTGCGTATTTTTTCTTATTGCAAAAAATTTAAACACGTCTATTAAAATAGATCCAAAAAATCAAGCTGAAGGAAAGAACACAGTTTATGAAAAAATATGGCTCCCAAAACCTTCAGACAGTGTAGCTGTGGAACCGAGTCTCATTATTAGGGTAAAGTATTTTATTATTTTATTTAGTTGACATTAATTAGAAGCCAAATAAATATGATGGTTAATTAATTTTTTATCAAATTCAAAACACCTTTAATGTGCGTTTATTAAAACACAGTAACAGCTCAATCAAACAGTACAACTTAACAAACAAAGAAACAAACTTGGCGTTCAATTCTTTTTTTTTTTTTCGTCTTTTATCCTTTAAATCAAATAATTTTTTAGTAAGCTGATAGAAAAGACTTGTATAACTTGTATAACCGGAAGGGGAAAAAAATATATTGACTTGTCTTAAGATGGGTTAAAAAAAATAACAGAGATGTAATGTCGTTCAAAGGGATGGTAGTCATGGGCGGTAAGTGATACCTCAAACAGATGCTTGAGCTGTACAGGAAAGTAAAACATGGAATTCATTCATACATTTTTAATGACGTAGAGATTTTTTTTAAAAAAATCATAAATGAATAAATAATTAACATGTTAATTAAATTATTATTAATGTAAACCATTTTTAAACCATGAAATGATTACACATAGAACTTGTCTGTAGGAAAATAAATGGAGGTGAGGTTTACAATTAAAAGTTACGCTTTAAGAATTTAATTTAATTGTAATCTTGGCAGTAACCCTCGCCACCTCCTCCCCCCCCCCCATTTTTATTGTTTTAAAAATGTTATTTTTTTCTTTAAAAACCGCAGCCATGGATATGATGTTCTTTATGGATATGATGTTCTTTATGGATATGATGTTCTTTATGGATATGATGTTCTTTATGGATATGATGTTCTTTATGGATATGATGTTCTTTATGGATATGATGTTCTTTATGGATATAATGTTCTTTATGGATATGATGTTCTTTATGGATATGATGTTCTTTATGGATATGAGGTTCTTTATGGACATGGGTTCTTTATGAATAGCGGTTATTTAGGAAAATGGGCTCTTTGTGAATAGGGGACTATTTAGGAACATGGGGTTCTTCATGAACATGGAGCTCTTTAGGAATATGGGGTTCTTTGAGAACATGGTGTTCCTTAGGACCATGGGGTTCTTTGGGATCATGGGGTTCTTTAAGGTGCTTTTTAGGGTTCAGAAAGGAACCGTTGGAGAACCTTGGGGCTTGCAGACATGGGAGTTCTTTTATTAATTTTTATTACCAACTTTATCTGTTTAATAGATGTGTGTGTGCGTGGAAGGGAGAATCGTAAGTCTGTTATTTAGCCCCGAATCAGCATTTAGTTAAACTACGTACCCGAATAGTTCGTCGAATTCCATGATGCTAGCAATGTCTCTAAGTAGTCCCTTTTTTTACACGGGTAACTATTTCAGTTCATAATAGATTAATTTTTTTTTAAATTACATTATTTACATGTCATACTTTCAGTAAAGGTTCATAAATTCCAAGCACATAAAGTTTGTTTAAATTATTATTTTTTTTTTAAACTTACATCAGATATAGACTCAGTAGTGTTAAATATGTTCTAATTTAGGTTACTAATAGTCATATAAGTCTCTTTGACTTTTCCTCAAATAATTTGAATTGAGATTTAACGTCCCAAATGTGTTTAGGATTAGTTGCAATGAATTTTTCTTCATGGCAGCTAAAGGTTCACACGAGTAACTTAAAATGACATCTCCTATGTCAGCGGTTCTTAACCTTCCTAATATAGCGACCCTTAATACAGTTCCTCATGTTGTTGTAGCCCCCAGCCATAAAAAAAATATGTTCGTTTCTATTTCTGAGATACGTGTTTTCCGACGGCCATAGGAGGGACGCTATGTAAGGGTCGTTCGACCCCAAAAAAGGGGTCGCGACCGCCCAGATTGAGAACTGCTATTATATGTAAATTGCTGCATCTAAACCAAATTTGCCCAGCAAAAAAAAAATCCATTTCATTTTTCCCTTTTGTCAAACTAAAGTTTGCTGGTTATCCAACATACGGTTCCCTCTGATGTTAAGTCTTAAAGACAGATCATCTTCGGCGCTGCGGTCCCCAAAAGTTAACGTTGAAAGCCATCATCATCTTTTTAAATTCCTACCCAATTGTTCTTTTTTTTTAAATTCTAAAGATAATTGGCCATATTTATGAATACTGGTTAAAAATATATATCCTTGTTTCATTTTTTAGGGTCAAACTGACACAGAGACGTAAAAAAAAAGCAAAAAGAGGAAGCGGTTTTGCAATTCACCAGAGATTAAACTTCATCTGGTATTCCTAAATATTCATACACGCTTGAGGTGTATGGAGAGTAGGGTAAAGTTGATATAAAGACAATAGTATGGGTGCACTTTTCATACGATTTTATGGGTTTAAAACAACGATGTTTGCTAGAACAAATATGTTAAAGCTGTATGGCTTCAAAATGAATGGTTATACAATTACACCTGCAGCTTTATGTTTCAAACAGTTTGACTCTTTATGTATATATTGATGTTTTTTAACTTTTCGTCATTTTTCATGTTGTATATCTATGCAAAGCACTTTAGAAACCAATATATATATATATATGTATAACGGGTGCTGGGTGGCCGATTGGTCTAAACTGAGTCAATCCAAAGATTGCGGAGGGGACTCGTTAAGCTTGGAGGCTAACACCAAAGAAGGAAACCCTGAATTCAAACCCTGAGATGGAGTCCCGTAGGCGGATAACACCGACACACTTCAAAGATCCCTCCATGCTACTGTGCCAAGCTGTAGCATCTTCATTTAATATTCACAGATGCGTGGGGAGAGAGAGAGAGAGAGAGAGAGAGAGAGAGAGGGAGAGAGGGAGGGAGGGAGAATTTGTTGTCTAGAGAAACAACATAAGAAAATTCCCAGGCCATGCGCTAGACTCCGGCGGAGTCTACACCATCGTCACATTGTGACGGACGGTGGCCAGGAAATTTTTTTTAATACGAATAAACCAAAGTCAATGCGTTAGGCTCTGTTCAAAAGTGAGGAAAAATAAAAATCCCCAAAGGTGCATAAAACACATTAGTTGGTTTTTTTATATTACTGAAATAGAATCACTTTAAATTTGAATAAATACATTTGCCTTTAAAAAAATTTAAATAACATGTCACATATAATAGCAATATATATTAGAAATACATTTAATGTAATGATTAAAGAATTATTTTAAGTATTTATCTAAATTTGCGTGTTGAGATTTTTCATTAAAGACGATTGACGTTTTTCGCTATCATCTATCCTTCACTATTATTAATTCGAAAGCGCCATTGAGTTTTTATACAGTACAATTAGTCATACACATTTTAAAATATGACGTTTTTTCTTTTTATTTCAATGGGCGAGGACGATTTTACAGGCAGCGCATATTGAGCAGTTAGTTCGTCTTTGGTTGACTTTGTCGCCGTAATTGCAAAGTCTCTACACCGCGAAAAGCTTTTCGATACTTGCATATTGGTGAATATATAAATTCAAACAAAAATCGTGAACGATAAATGCAAGGCCACCATATGGAAAAGGCCTCAATTTGCCTCAAATGAATTATTTTTAAAATATATATATATTGTTTTAATTTGCATTAAATTAATAAAAAAAAAAAAACAATTTCAAAAAACAAAAAACCGACCAAGGGCCTCCACAATTAAAGACACTGCTCAGAGTTTAATCCCTGGAATCAACTAGCTAATTTGACTCAATGAGTCGCGAAATAATGCATGACTTAACAGTGGGCCAAAAAAGATTGGGAGGCGCCGAACTGTTGTATCAATGTCGCCATTTCGAGTATTCTCAGATCCACCAGGCTTACAAAATGTTTACGAACGAGTCTAGTCCGTTCCTGGCTAAAATCAATACATTTATGTAGGTTCACTACCTGCGAATAAAGACTTTATTATGTTAAGTTACTTTGTTTAACTCAAGTCAAGCTTAAGGTCAAGAGAAAGCAGCGAGACACTGTCAAATTTTATTTGTATACTTTATTTTTTTCTTAAAGTAAATAAATCATATTTTTTACATTGCATTGACACATCCGAAAGAATCTTGCTATTTCGAAAATATTAATAATTTATTATATGTCTGAAGTAACACATTACAAAATATTGTTATTCTTGTAAAACATTCAGTTTAAGTTACCGTTAATTTTGAAGAACTATTTTCAAAATATACACTTTTTAGATATATTTTTCTTTATTTAAAAATAATTTAAATCAGTGGTTCTTAACCTTTTTGGAGGAATTGAACCCCACCAGTTTCATATGCGCATTCACCGAACCCTTCTTTATAGGAAAAGTAAAATAGTTTATTTTTTTCTTCTAATTTTTATTTACCTCCGCCAAACCCCTGAGACTGACTCACCGAACCCCTGAGACTGACTCACCGAACCCCTGAGACTGACTCACCGAACCCCTGAGACTGACTCACCGAACCCCTGAGACTGACTCACCGAACCCCTGGGGTTTGATCGAACCCAGGTTAAGAACACCCGATTTAAATATTTGCTTATTATGTAATTAGTGTGAGATAAATTGTTATTTTTTTCTTAAAGAATTTTTTTGTGAAAGCTTTTTTTAAAAAATTGTTTTATATGCGTCATAGCACTACACGCACGCTACATCATATGGAACAATGAAAGCGCAATGTTTATTCGCATATAAATAACCATAATCATATTTTTTAAACTGTGTACTTAAAAAGTTTTTTTTTAAAATTTTTTAAATACATTTCTTAAGTACTGAATGGCATTAAGCAGAACTTAATTTCGTAAGAAATCATTGTCACAATCCCGTTGTTTTTTTTGTTTTTTTAAATGACTGCAGCTAATTGGTTCTTTAATACAAATTGTATGAATATTTTGTGGTTTGTTATTATTTTTTATTTAAAGCTGTATTAAAATTTAAAATGAAATTTTAAACGTAAAAAAAAGATTATGGCATATGAAAAACAAGGACATCTCTTATTTGGTGCTTTTTGATCGAGCAATGCATCTGTTTAAATAAACTTGTTCGGTTTTTATATATTTTTAGTACGTTGCTTTGTAATTTCCATTGCTTGTCAGTGGTGGAACCTTGCATTGCAAGCCTTACCCACATCCTGATGTCCGATTAAGCTGAGACCTTGTACCCACTTCCGATGACAATAAAAAAAAAAACTTTCTTGATGGGTAGGTCACCAGTGACCAACAAGGACATACACCATTTAGACAACAGAAATGTCCCAACTGACCTTTGACGTCTATGTGTCTTATGAAAGCAAGACGCCTTTTAGTAATATGTTTTAAATACAATTGCTGATCGCCTGGATCATCTAATCTAGGAGAGTAGCAGTTAATGTAGCAGCAGCTGCCTGTTGTCTTACAACGTGTCGTTGTGGATAATTCGTTTTCATTAAAAGTGAAAAGTATACACAAGAATTCGGTAGAAATCCCAGAGACCATTTGAGGAAAGAAATTTTATTAGATCGGGGAATGGAATTGTTCAAGTTAATAAAATGGTTATATGGTTATGCTTTCTTGTTTTGTTTTTTTTGTTTTTTGGTAAGATGTTGTCACAACAAATGTCACCAATGAACAGATCGTGAAATTTGAGAGCCACCCTGTGTTATGTTGTTGTTTTTTTAAAATATGTGCTGAAAGTGACCCATTCAGTTCCATGGATAGATGGTTTTATGTTCGTCCTTTTTTCATATGGAAATGACCAAGGTTTTATATGGGGCCATGAGTACGCAGGTGGCCTGTGGATACTATGTGAGTATGTCATTCTGACCTGCATATGGGCACACGTGTTTCAGAATTCAACTGGTATTTGAGCCAATGCATTTTTTTTTACTTGTACTTACTTTTATTGGGAGTGGTACACTTACTCTCTGAAGAATGTGCCCGCAACACTGAGTAGAGACTTTGAATGGCTGGACATGTGAGAAAATATGGGAAAAATACACACGAAGTACATGTGAATTTAACGTTGACGGAATAAAACATTAAGGAATGATGGACACTAATTTAATGCCCCCCCCTGAAAACGTTAGGTCAGCATTCCATGGAGGAATCTTGAAGTGAACTTGACAGATGAAGCATCCAACACAAAGGCGTAGCAGGGGGGGTGCAGGGGTACATATGCCCCAGGCGCCAAGGTACAAGGGTGCCATAATAAAGCTTATGTTAGTTAACAAAGGTAATAAATCGATCACAGATCGGTGCAGTGGCTCAGCAGACGTGTCATCTGATAGCCTACTTATTTTGTCGCATTTGCGTGCGTCAGTGGGACAGGATTCGTCTCAGCGATCTTGCTCTTCTTAGCCTTGAAAGAGAAACGTTGGGGAACAACATAATTTTATTGCGTCATTGACCAGTTTGCGACAATGAAATTTAAAAAAAATCCTTTGTAGACTATGAAAACCAGTCTACGACTGTGACTGCTTGGATCATGTAACATAATTTCTATAAATTTTACTTCATAAAATGCCATGTTTTATTAAACTTTAAACTTGTGTCCTTATTAAATCTAATTGAAAAATGTGATTAAAGGAGAGGGGGGGGGGAGATGAGGTGAGGGATTCAATTTTATCGTTTGTCCCCAGGCGCAAAACATCACAGCCATGCCTCTAATCCAACAGCCACCCCAACCCCCTCGCTATCTCTATTTCCAATTATACCAACCTTCCCCAGGCATTATCTTAAAACGGGAAAACGGAAAAAACAGCGGAAACAAGTCAGGCTCCTTTCGGGAAATGTTAGGATATTGAGAAAAGGAATCTCATCGTGTAATTGCATCCTGTGGGAAACGGGAATTTAGTCAGGTAAATGTCTCTCTCTGTCTCTCTGTCTCTCTCTCTCTCTCGTAAGGAAATAAGGGGTTTAAGGGACAGGGGCTGGTGGGATGGGGCTGGTGGGATGGGGCTGGTGGGATGGGGCTGGGAGGATGGTATGATGGTATGATGGTATGATGGTATGATGGTATGATGGTATGATGGTATTGTGGTATGCTGGTATGATGGTATGATGGTTCTGGTGGGATGGGGCTGGTAGGATGGGGCTGGTGGGATGGGGCTGGTGGGATGGGGCTGGTGGGATGGGGCTTTTGGATGAAGCTAATTTTTTAAAGGGAAGAAATAAAATATTTATTCATTAGGAGTGATGAGTTTAATGGGTTTGAAAGAAGAGATAGAATGGTTTATATGTTGCTATTATATTATTGGGAAGTATGATATGATTGGCGAAATTATGTATAACTGTAACGAATATGTGGAAATGTTCAAACATACAAAAATTTAAGTATTTATTGTAATAAGTTATAACACGAATCACAAGGTCGAACCAGAATAAAATTTCAGATGTAATATTGCCAAATAAATCAGTATTTAACTTTATAACCCTTTCAAAAAAATTAAATTAAGAGCTTGATGTATCGCTCTTCCTGCTTTTTTTATACTGGGAACAAGTTTAAATTATTTAAAACATGTTGTTTTTTTTAAAATTGTTTTTTAATTTTTATTTTAAAAATTGTTTCCATATTTATTCGATATTAAATTCCATCTTAAGCTTACTTCTAAATACACAAGAGTTATTATCTGTGTAGATCTCTCTTCAAAATGTTATAAAAACAGCAATCCATTTGATTGATAATTAATACGAATATAATAGGTTTTTTGTGTGTAAATAAACGAAACAATGAAAATCAAATCAAAGTTCGGCAACGTTCTCATACCAACGTTTAAGTTTTCACCTCCGTATGTGTTTTCCATTTTAAAAAAATACATTCATTCTTGCAGACGGAAATGATG